GACTTCTCAGGAGCTCCTGGATATCCGCAACAAGGATTTTCAGTCGGCGGGTCAGCAAATCGTCAACTTTATCAAGAAGGAGCGTTCGGAGTAGGACTTGAGCTTCCTCTATAATTCTCCTCCTCCTGCTAGTGACGACAGCGTTTCTCCTCCTGTCGGCGGTGAAGACAATGCTTCTCCTCCCAGCGACGGTGAAGAACTGGCAACTGGCGGCGAAGCCCAAGGATTCCTTCTTTATGTTTCTTTTAGTGCGTTGTAACTTAATATTTGTCTTTGACAGCTTTATATTTTTCCCGCACTTTATATATATATATATAAGACAACAGATTTTGCTTATACCTTGACTCGCAATTGTTGCTCTTCTTTTCTCTTTGGAGGTTCTGACGTCGATTGTACCTTTTGGGGTCGTCGTCTTAGAAAATTCCTTAGAATTTTGCTAAGTCCTTATCTTTCCTCCCTGGAGGATTTGGCGTCGAGGTTACCCCTTAGGGTCATTGTCTTAGAAAATTCCTTGGAATTTTGTGAAGTTTTTATCTTTCCTCCCTGGAGGAATTGGCGTCGAGGTTACCCCTTAGGGTCGTTGTCTTAGAAAATTCCTTGGAATTTTGCTAAGTTTTTATTCCTCCTCCTTGGAGAATTTGACGTCGAGGTTACCCCTTAGGGTCATCATGTCATTTTTTTTTATGATCCGTGGACCTCTGCCCCCCACGTCTGTTTATTATAACCTTGGCTTTGTTAAGCAGACATGTTATTAAGGGGTAAATTCTTTTCTCTCTGCAAACATATCAATTTTATTCAATTTGTAAAGAATGTACAATTGGGGCGTATAAGAATTACATACACTATTGATAGTACAGCCTTAGCTGTTCTGCATTCCATGGATGTTGAATTCTTTTGTCGTCGAGGCTTTCCAATATGTAGGTGCTGGGACGTAGTATCTCCCTTACGCGGTAGGGCCCTTCCCAAGTTGGGCCCAAGGGACCAGTATTTTTGGGTTTTGTGCTCTGTGTTACCCTTTTTAACACTAGATCCCCTGGGATGAACCTTCTTTGTTGAAATTTCTTGTTGTAGTACCGCGCTGTTCTTTTCTAATAGGCGGCGAGGCGTAGTTGGGAGTCGAGCCTTTTTTCTTCTAATAAGTCGAGTTCCCCGTTCATGCCCTCCGTGTTGTCATTGTCGTCGTAGACAACGGTTCTTAGAGTCGGCGTTTCAATTTCTACGGGGAGCACTACCTCGACGCCATACGCCAGGGAGAAGGGTGTTTCACCCGTAGTAGTTCGGCTTGTCATTCTGGATGCCCATAAGACCTTGGGAAGCTCTTTGGCCCATCTCCCTTTCAGATCGTCGAGTCTCTTTTTAAGGGTGTATTTCAATATTTTATTGACCGCCTCGACTTGTCCATTTGATTGCGGATGGATCGGCACCGAGAAGTCTTTTTGAATGCCCAAGCTGTCACAGAATCTACGTGTTGAGGCGTTGTCGAATTGCTTTCCGTTGTCAGATACTATAGAGTGGGGAACCCCGAACCTGCACACGATGTTGTCCCACATGAACTTGGTGCAGGTTGCTTCCGTGGTTGTAGTTAGGGCCTTTGCCTCCGTCCACTTCGTGTAGTAGTCTACCGCAACGATTGCAAACTTGAATCCTCCGGGGGCAAGATGTAATGGCCCAATCAGGTCAACCCCCCATTTGGCAAAGGGCCATGGATTGAGAATTAAGGTTAAATTTTTTGGGGGTGCTCTAGGAATTGTGGCGTACCTTTGGCATTTATCGCAGCATCAGGCGTATTGAAAAGCGTCCTTTTTTAGCGTGGGCCAGTAGTATCCTTGCCTTAAAACCTTTAGAGCCAAAGACTGCCCCCTAGTGTGATTACCACAGACTCCTTCATGGATTTCTTGGAGGACCTTCTGGGCTTCGGTGTTATCCAAGCACCGTTGTAGAGGTGTAGAATAGCCTCATCGGTAGAGCAAGCCGTCATACAGTAAGTACCTAGCAGCTCTATACTTGACCCGTCTGGCTTTATCTTTATTGTCTGGCAGGCGCGCGTCCATTAAGTATTGGATGAGCGGCATCATCCAATTTCCACCTATTTGGACGATTAGTGCCTCAGCCTATTCTTCAATGGTGGGCCACTCTAATTCTTCGATGGGGACGACCCCTAGTATGTCAGAATCCCTTGAAGAAGCTAGTTTTGCCAGGGCGTCGGCGTTTGCATTTTCAGTTTGTGGTATTTGAAGTATCTCGTAGCTTTTGAACTTAACGAGTTCTTCCTTTGCCTTTCTTAAATATGCTCCCATCTTCTTACCGCGCGCTTGGTATTCTTCTTTTACTTGTGCGACAACCAGTTGAGAATTACTGAAGACTCTGAGCCTTTCGACCTTCAAGTGGTTGGCTAATCGTAGACCAACAATTAGTGCTTCGTACTCTGCCTCATTGTTCAACGCCTTGAAGTTAAATCGAACCGCCGAGGTAATCTTGTGGCCTTCGGGGCTGATTAACAAGACGCCGGCGCCTGACCCGTTTTTGCTCGACGCCCCATCCACGTAGAGCTTCCATTTTGTAACCTCAACTTCTCTAGATGTGACGTGAGCTGGTCTATGAGAGAATTCAGCTAGGAAACCAGCGAGCGCTTGGCCTTTGATTGCAGCTCTTGGCACATATTTTATGTCGAACTGACTCAACTCTACTGACCATTTGAGGAGTCGACCGGAAGTTTCGGGCTTTTGTAGAGCCTGTCTCAGGGGGTGATTTGTGAGAACTCGTATTGTGTGAGACTGGATGTAGTGCCGGAGCTTCCTTGAAGCCACCATCAAGGTAAGGGCTAGGCGCTCCATTTCACCGTATCTTGACTCGGCGTCGAGGAGCCTTTTACTCATATAGTAGATCGGTAATTGCACCCTTTCTTCGTCTCTAACTAATACGGAGCTTACGGCATGTTGGGACACGGAGAGGTATAAGCTGAGCTCCTCGCTTTGGTTTGGTTTTAACAGAATCGGGGACTGGCCCAAATGCTCCTTCAACTTCTGGAAGGCCTCTTCACATTGTGGCGTCCACTCAAAGCGCCTGTTTCCTTTTAAAACGTCGAAGAAAGGGATGCACTTGTCAGTCGCTTTTGATATAAACCTATTTAGGGTGGCGACACATCCTGTCAACCTTTGCACTTCTTTTGGCTTAGTCGGGGATCGTATATCCATTAGGGCTTTAATTTTCTCGGGGTTAGCTTCTATCCCACGGTTGTTGACCATAAAATCGAGGAACTTCCCCGACCCAACTCCAAAGGCACATTTCTGGGGGTTTAGTTTCATGTGGTATTTTCTCAAAATACCAAACATTTCACCCAGATGGTCGACGTGCTGGCTGGCCCTGGCGCTTTTTACCAGCATGTCATCGACGTAAACCTCCATCGTTTTGCTGAGCTGTTGAGCAAATATCTTCTTCACAAGCCTTTGATAGGTAGCCCCCGTATTTTTCAGACCGAAAGGCATCACCTTATAGCAGTAGAGACCCCTATCAGTTATGAATGACGTGTTCTCCTCGTCGGCTGGATGCATGGGGATCTGGTTGTATCCGGAGTAAGCGTCCATAAAGCTCAGCATCTTATGTCCCGCCGTGGCGTCGACCATTTGGTCTATTCGTGGGAGCGGAAAGCCATCTTTTGGGTAGGCTTTATTGAGATCGCTGAAGTCGACGCATGTCCTCCAGCTCCCATTGGGTTTGATCACCAGAACGGGATTCGATACCCAGCGTGGATAGTGGGCTTCCCTGATGAACCCATTTTTTATCAACTTGTCGACCTCTTCCTTCAGCGCTTCATATCTCTCAGGATTCATCAGTCGACGCTTCTGGCGCTTGGGAGGATATGAGGAGTCGACGTTTAGAGAGTGACATATAACCACGGTGTTGATCCCTTCCATGTCGAAGTGACTCCAGGCGAAGACATCTAAATTCTGCTTGAGGAAGTTTTTTATCTCAACCCTAAGTGAAGGGGCTAAGTCTGAGCCTATTTTCAATACTTTGGTGGATTCGTCTTTATCAACTTGAATTCCCACCAATTGCTCGATAGGTTGAGACCACATGACCTCCTCTTGCACCCTGGGGTCTATGTCCTCGACGGTATCATGATGAACCATTCTTGCCTCTTGCCTCCCCGGCTGGTCATATCCGCACAGAGCGTCAGAGTATGCCACCCTAACTTCGTACTGGTTGCTCTTCATTTCCCCTACGCCATTTGGGGTTGGAAACTTGACCTTCTGGTGGTAGACGGAGGTTATCGCCCTTAATGCCTGGAGGGTTGGTCTCCCGATTACCGCGTTGTACTGGGAGCCTCCTTTGATGACCACAAAGTTGGCCATCATTCTTGCCTGTCGGGGTTTTTCTCCGGTGGTTATAGGTAGCCGGATAGTTCCTTGAGGGATGACGGAGTCTCTAGTGAACCCGTATAGTGGCCTGGAGGTCCTTTCCAACTGCCCCTTGTGGATCCCCATTTTTTCCAAGCAATCGGAATATAGGAGGTCCACCGAGCTCCCATTATCCACCAAGATTCGACACATGGTGTGGTTTCTGATCATGGCTTCCACCACCAGTGCGTCGTTGTGGGGGAAATGGACTCCGCTGGCGTCATCCTCGTTAAAGGCCACGTCAGTGTGGCTGTGCCTCTGGGTTTTTGCGGCGGAGATGCTCCAGAACCATTCCTGGTAAACCCCATTGGCCTCATGCGCGTAGTCCTTCTACGACCTCCGCGTGTCTCCCCCTATATAGGGGCCGCCGAGGACCGTTCATATGACGCCGACAGGTTCCCGATCTTCTGGGCGATGGTTCTCCTCTCGGCGTCGGCCATCATTTTGCCCACCATGGCCGTCGTTGCGGGGTCTCCGCTCGGCCCTGAACTCCTGCAGCCTTCCCTCGCGGATCATTCTTTCGATTTCATCCTTGAGGTCAGCGCAATCATTGGTGTGGTGGCCGACATCGCTGTGGAACCTACAGAATTTCTTCGGGTTCCTTCAGCTGGGATCCGACTTCATTGGTTCTGGTCGGCACAGTAAGTTTTCGCGGCCGACCTGGTTGAAGATCTCCTCGACGCCTACCGTCAGTTCATGGTAGGTGTCATATTTCTGGAACAGCTGAGGCCTGCAAGCATCCTCCTGCCTTGGCTTCTTGGCCTCTGGTGCTCCTAGCGTCGGGGTCGGTTGCTTGTCTCCGCTTCCTCCTCCTCGACGCTTCTTCCCATCTTGTTTTGATGGCGACGACCCCTGCTCGGCCCCTTTACCCTTATTTGACCTATGATCAGGGTCGTTGGCATCTGCTTCTTCAGCATTGATGTATCCTTGCACTCGTGCAAGGAACTCCTTGTAGCTGGACGGGGGTTTTCGGTTCAGTTCCCTTTTGAAGGGAGTTATTTTTTTCATGCTGGATAACGCCCCCATCAAGGCTTCTCTGTCCGTTATATCCATTGTAGCGGTGACAGCCTCGCCGTATCTGGCAAGCCACTCTCTTAACGTCTCATTTGGCTTTTGGTATATCGTTGTTAGATTCTGCTTCGGGGGGACGTACTTTTTAACCCCTATGAATTGGAGGGAGAATGCTTCCTTTAACTCATCCCAGCTTGAGATAGAGTTTGGCTTCAGCGTCCGGAACCATCTTCGAGCAGAGTCTGTTAGGTGGTTCTGAAAGGCTCGGCACATAATCTCCTCGGCGTATCCGTGCAAGAGCATGTGCCCTGTGTATATCTCCAGATGGTCGTCGGGATCTCTTCGCCCGTCGTATGGTGGGATCGACGGCGACCTGTATTTGTCGGGGAGAGGAGGCGCCATTATTTCCACGGTGAACGGATGGTCATGCGTGCGACTGGGTGTAATGTCAACGTTTACCACCTCGGCCACTCGTCCAATGTTCTTCTTCAGACCTGCCACGTCCCCCGTCAGCTTTCTTTCCAGGCTGGCCATGCGTTCCATGAGGGTTCGCGCTTCTTCTGTAGAAACGACCGAGCCAGCAGCTCTCGACGCTTCCACCCTTTGAGCAATGGGTCCACCTCTGGCCTAGCCGCCCGCCTGTACTGACCCCGAGTCTCCTGGTTGGTTTCCTCCGGGATTTTGGGGCAGCACCTCAACAGCTCGGAGTCTGGCGGCTCTCAATCAGCTGCCAGAGGAATGGGAAGGCCGAGGCCTAGGAGGGCCCTGGTGGTTCTCGCTTTCCCCGGTTCCTTCCTGGATAGGTGGGTGGTTACCGTGATTCAGATTTCCCATCATGGCAGGTCCCTGCGGCCTCGAGGCATCTTCTAGTGGCGGCATGGAGTTCCTTCCATCTAAGCGCTCAACCACGGTCATTAGCCCACGTACCAACTCGGTCAGGGTGGTTTAGGCCTGCATCTGCCTCGGATCCTGCCGTGGTGCGTCTGGAGGTGGGACTCCATTTCCGTCTGGGCACAAATCTTCTTCCATCCCGTTATTCTCTGGGTGGATGGTGGTTTGTAACTATGTTTTCGGGGGTCGAACGCTTTCGGACTCCAGTGGAGTCACAAATTGTTGACGGTTAGATTTCGTCAACAAAAACCGGCCGTGTTACCTTTGGGTTACCGGCCTATGTGTGTAGTGAAAGTGTGGATACTTGTTAGATATGTGTATTTGTGTGTTAAGTGAACTGTATGTAAACAAACACAAGGAATTTTATAGTGGTTCACTCTGTAAAATTAGAGCTACATCCACTGTAATTTTGTATTTCTTTTGAGGGGACAACAATTTACAAGTTATCGCTCTCCTTTTCCCTCTTGTGTTCAATTCTCCGACCCCTCTCTCGGTGGGGGTCTTCACCCTTTTATACTGGGCTTCCTTCACCTAGTGGGTTTCTTTGATCGGTGGAAGCACTCAAGTGTTCTCCCTTGGTAGGCCCAGATGTAGCCCACTAATCAGCATTGTTCACTCAGCTAATTAGTCTTCTATTACGACTCTGTGATTCTCTGTAATGCTTTCCTGTCCCCTGTGGGGCGGTTTGAGAGTTTGTAATTAATGCTGACAGACGTCTTCCATTTTTGCACACAACCCGCCATGTCTTAAAAGAACGTTCCCCTCGTCGCCAGCGCCGTTTTAGCCCCATTCGTCTTCTCTGGCGACCCTTTCTGCGGTCGAGGAATCTCCACACCTTAATTTAGGCGGCACTATCCGTCGGCGCCACAAGGGGTCGTCGCCTTAATCTGGATTTCATTTTTGGGCCTTGCAGTTGATTAGGAGGGAAACGTAGACGTCGAGGGTTGTGTGCTTGGCGGAGAGTGGTTATGGCCATGTGTCATGGTGTCGTTGATCCAGGTGTTCATCACATTTTCCTACACAACAAGTATGATAAGCATTATGTTTACTACGGAAAGGGAAATTAATTAAAAAATAAAAAAAAAACATAAGGGCTTTGTGCAGTTCGACAAGACTAAGCCATATACGTAGCAATACTGGAAAGCCATTTGGTGCTCAACCCATTGTCCACTGAAAGACAAAATTTAAGTCCAAAAAGTTAGGGAAAAAAAAAAGGGGGGGATCTCATGTACGGTTCTGTAGAGTGGCAGTAAGGGTGACTTATCTGTCAACTTTTCCACTATCACCCCCAAAAAACCAAACTCTGCCTTACGTAAAGTTGCCAGAGTACGCTTAACCTCTGGATTTGAAATCACTGCTTATATACCTGGTATTGGCCATAATTTACAAGAACATTCTGTAGTCTTAGTAAGAGGGGGAAGGGGGCACGAGGAACTGCCCCCTTTGGCCTTAATTGTTCGAGGAACCCTAGATGCTGTCGGAGTAAAGGATCTGCGATGGGAGAAGTTTTTATTTTGTCATTTTTTCATCAATGCTGGCTCAGTCGAGGCTCGTCCATGCCCAATCCCAATTACCTTGACACCAAAGAAGAGTTCGACCCAATGCTTTATTTCTGTCCTAGTTGATCCTGATTCGACATTAGAAGTATATTGATTTTTCAGCAATAACCGAAGACTTTTGTCTGTAACTACGAAATATTGGATTCCATCAAGAAATTTTCTTCCCTATGAGTTCTAGTCTCAATAAGACTGTTAGGTCTTATGTTGTTTAATACCCCTTATCGGGAAACTCTGGCAAGGTCTATTATTCCTTTTTCCCAGTGAGTGCAGGCTTCATCGAAAGGCTCGTGGCATTATTGGGTTCGCTTGCACACTTCTCCTCTCCCCTGGAATGGAAAGCGATATATATTCCCCCCTTAAACTCTGTACTATAGCTATCCAGCTGACGAGTTTACCCGAGCTCTTGTGCTCCGGGGAATAAAATAAGAAGAGAAGGTGTCTAAAAAAGGAAGCAGAGGTTCTTCACTTCACGTGACATAGCTACGCTCAGGTTTCACCAACTTCGCGTCGGGTTCACTGAAGTGAAATCTTGTTAAAGCAAACCAACGTTGAACCTTAGGACGGTAGCGAAAGGAACCTTCTTAACCGGGTCAATTCACAAGTTAGAAGGTTCAAAACGATACCCAACACCACACAGGAAATGCAAAGCAAGTACACATGCAGCAAATTCATATAATATTCCATAGCAAAAAGAAACATGAATGGAAAATCAAAATGAAACTTGCTTTGTTAATTGTTAGTCAAAAACATGAATGGAAAATCAAAATGAAGCAAAAAGAAAGAGTGAAGAGAGTTGCAATTACCAGGGCAAGCCAATTGGAGGGAGCCAGTCCAGAGAACGAAACTTGAAAAACAAAATAAGGCCCTGTTCATTTCGCTGATTCGAATTTTGCTACAGTAAAAAATTCTCACAAACAATCACATCTAATTTTTTTGTTACAGTAAAAAACTCTCATATAAAATTATATATCAACTCAAATTAAAAACTTGAATCAACAAACTAAACAGACCATAATTTATATATAAATACAAAAAGGACCAGACGAGCACGAAACGGACAAAGCTCCATATTCTCTTCTCTCTTGAGAATGAACCATCCAAACACGCTGAAATTTGGATTTTGTCCAAAATAATAATAATAATAAAAAGTTTCGAATAATAAGACAGCTGTAAAGCAACTGTGAGTCTGTGATTGTAAGTACATGAAATATCATTATACATACATTTCTAAGCATTCAAACGTCTTTGTGCATAAAAAAATAAAAAGATACTTTTATTTTATGGATTTAAATTTTATTATAATAAAAAAAATTTATAAATAATTATATTTAATTTTTTTATTACAGTAAAATATTTTTATATAAAGTTACATTTTAATTTAAATTAAAATTTTAAATCAGTAAACTAAACGAACTCAAATTATGTTTACGTGACATTTACTCAAATCCTAATCTTAAATCCCAATGATAAATTATGTTCATACATAATAACTCGTTTAGTTCACGTGTTAAATTAATAATTTTGATTCTAAATTTAAATTTAGATAAATTTTAAAAATACTCCATAAACTTTTATCACTTGTTCACCTTGTTCTTTGAGCTTTAGAATGCGACATCCACACCCCTCAAATTTTAAAAAGTTAGCAATAATACTCCTTCCATCTATTCACCTTGCCCTTTGAATTTAGGTTTCATTCATTTCACTGATTCGAGTTTTTAATTCCAGTTTTGCTATAATTAAAAGCTCTCACAAAAAATCGCATCTAACTTTTTCTACTACTATTAAAAGCTCTCACATAAAATTACATCTCAACTTGAATTAAAAATTCAAATCGATAAACTAAATTAAAAACGTATTCATTTATTATTTTTACTCTTTAGCAGTCTTTTAATATCTAGATCTTTGTGTTGAGTGAGTTTTGGAGGCAATAAATTAGTATCCATATACAATTTTTGCTTTAATTTTTCACGTTTGAGGTAATAACTGGATCATTGTATTGAGTGAGTTTTGAAGGCAAAAAAAATCGTATCCATATACCATTTTTACTCCAATGTTTTCACTTTAGCATTCTTTTAATATCTAAATCATTGAATTAAAAAGCTCTTACATAAAATTACATCTCAGCTTAAATTGAAAGTTCGAATCGATGAACTGAATTAAAAGCGTATCTATATACCATTTTTACTCCAAATTTTTTCACTTTAGCAGTCTTTTAATATCTAGATCTTTGTGTTGAGAGAGTTTTGGATGCAATAAAATAATATCCGTGTACAATTTTTGCTTTAATTTTTTACATTGGAGACAATAACTAAATCATTGTATTGAGTGAGTTTTGAAGGCATCAAAAATAGTATCCATATACCATTTTTACTCCAATTTTTTACTTTAGCTTTCTTTTAATATCTAAATCATTGGGTTTAGTTAGTTGTTGAGGCATTAAAAGGGTATACGCATTCCATTTTTGCTGTAATTTTTTCATTTTAACAGGCCTGTAATATCAAGATCTTTGTGTTGAGTTAGTTTTTGAGGCATTAAAAGCGTATCCATATACCATTTTTACTCCAATTTTTTCACTTTAACAGTCTAAATTTTGTGTTTAGTGAGTTTTGGAGGCAATAAAATAGTATCCATGTACAACTTTTACTCTAAATTTTCACATTGACTACTTTTTAATAACTAGATCATTGTGTTGAGTGAGTTTAGGAAGCATCAAAATGGTATCCATATACCAATTTTACCCTAATTTTTTCACTTTCGCATTCTTTTAATATCTAGATCATGGGGTTTAGTTAATTTCGTAGGCATGACAATTTTTACTCCACTTTTTTTTTAACAGCCTTCTAATATCTATATCACTGTGTTCAGTGAGTTTTGGAGGCATTGAAATGGTATCCACATTCTATTTTTACTCCATTTTTTATAATCTTTCTGTTGAATTAGTTTTGAGGCATTAAAAGGATATCATATACCATTTTTACTCCAATTTTTTTCACTTTAACAGTCTTCTAACATCTAGACCATTAAGTTGAGTCAGTATTGAAGGTCCAAATTTACTTCAATTTTTTCATTTAATAGTGGAGCTAGCTTTCGGCTTTAGTGGGGGCGTTATGGGCATACAATATTTTTTAAAAAAAGTAAATTATATGAAAAATATATGTAAATTGAATGTATAATATTTTCAAGAACTATCAAATACATATTGAGAATTCTACGGTATGAAAAAATATCTTAACCTTATAAAGTCATATCTATATAAAAAAAATTATTTATTTTACGTACTATTTATTTTCATGTGATTTTAATAAGATCTAACAGAGAAATATACTATCGATAAAGATACCTTACCATTGATTTTTCTTTTTCTCATTTTTATAGCATGTATTATGAGGTTATAAAAAATAGTGTTTTATAATTTAAAATGTATAACATATTCAAGTTAATTAGTATCTTTTCTCAATCATCAGTTCATTTTGACTAAAAAAGATCTAAGCATGTGAGTTAGTAAAAATATAACGAATAAGGAAAGAATAAAAATTGAAAAATGTAAAAGATATTGTTGTAATTTTTATAATCAAAATCAAACCTTTTTTTGTGTAATATCAATGATATTGGCCCTTAGATCCATAGAGGGAAAAAACGCCCCTCCTATAGACATGCCCGAGCAAAAAAAAGTGAAATTCCTCATATGAGATTATTTATTTATAAAATAAACTGTTGTGCGGGTAAAGAAGGGTGTTATACATTGCTTGCCCGCAATTTTGGATGTCAACAAAGTGCCGTAACAAAACGCATCCTACATTTATGGCTTACGGGAAATGATTTGTTACGTGCAATTATTTTTCAAAAAATTTCAAGCAAAAAAATATTTTTCGAAAAATAGTTGTACAATTTTTATTACCGCTATTATGCAGGAAAAAAAAAAGGAAATTGAAGATTAATATAGAAATTTGGATTGGCGATTTGCTAAAGTAAAAAATTTGGATTTTTCTGTCTTTTTTTTTTTTTTGGATTATTATGTTTGTAAGTCACCGTCACCTCAAAAATAAAAATAAAAATAAAAAGCTCACCAACAACTTTACCAGCTGGTTATCGGGTGAGTTCAATCTGACATCATCAGCCTTTTTAATTTAATTTTAATTTTTGTTTTTAAATTTTAAATAAAAAATAAATAAAATTGAAGACAGCGATTATTCTCTCTCTGAGACTCTTCCCCCACTTTCCCTCTCTGACTCTGTCTGTCTGCTTCGTCCCACGCTTTGCTATAATTCTGTTTGCATTTCCATTTTGCCCCTTTTACATTGCCTTGGTGTTAAATTCTGAGTTTTTATTTTTTATTTTTTATAAGATAAGATAAGATTAGATTAGAATTGTATTTGATTTTTGATTTTGGGTGGGGAATTGAATTGGAGTTAGGGTTTGGCAGTTGTCCCCAAAATCAAAACAAAAATCAAATTCGTAAAGGTTCGCAGATGGTGTAAACTGTAAAAGGAAGGAAGGGAGAGAATTGGGAGGGAAGATCCAATTATCAGTTAATAATATAATCATTTGTTATTAGAATGGCGTCCTCCGATTTGCCGATGACTCCTCAGTTGGAGCAGATCCACGGTGAAATTCGCGATAATTTCCGTGCCCTCGCGTGCGTATCATTACTACTACTATTGTCTATTACTATTTCTCTTTTGTATTTATAAATAAATTTTGGTGATTATATCTTCATCTTTCACTCATATCACATCATTTAATTACATCACATAAGCCAAATCAAAGCAAAGCTAGGGTTTTTCTTATCAATTTTTCAATACATTAGCTTTATTTCTTTCTCGTAATATTTTCGTTTATTTTATTTTATTTTATTTTATTTTTGGTTTGGTGTTTCCAAACAGAAATGGGTTTCAGAAGCTGGATAAAATCAAAGATTCCAACAGACAAAGCAAGCAGCTCGAGGAGCTTACCGGAAAGATGAGGGAGTGTAAAAGGCAGGTTTCTTTTTCCTTTTTCTCTTCTCTTCTCTTCTTTTCTTTTGTAAATGATAATAAAGATTTTCTTCGATTATCAATGTCCCATTACCTCAAATGTTATTGTCAAATTCAATGGCCTATCCTATAGCTAGAAAAATGAAAATTAGTTGCAAACTACTAGTACTATTTTTTGCAATGTAATTTTGAAGTTGTTATGTTTGTGTTATGTTATGTTTCAGACTAATAAAGGAGTTTGATCGTGAAACTAAAGATGAGGAAGCCAGAAATACTCCTGAAGCTAATAAGCTACTCAACGACGAGAAGCAATCTATGGTTCCTTCCTTGTTCCTCAATTTCACTTCCTTTTTGTTTCTCCTGCTCCTTGATTGACAGACAATGTTGTTTTGAATCTTTTGCTTGTTGTTGATAACGTCAGTGGTTATACTTGTACTTTGCAGATCAAGGAGCTCAATTCATATGTGGCATTGAGGAAAACGTAACTTCACTTGTTACCCATTTCGCTCTCCTTTGTCGTTAATTTAATTTCGCTTTTTTTATTTTTATTTTTATATATTTTCCTTCAGTCTGGCAAAACTACATGCACTCGTTTTTCTTCTTCTTGGGCTTTCTTTGTTTGACAATATGCATTTCATGCTGTTCTTGGTCATAAACTGCAGCTACATGAACAGCCTTGGGAACAAGAAAGTTGAACTTTTCGACATGGGAGCAGGGGTTAGTGAACCTACAGCTGAGGAAAATGTCCAAATGGCATCATGTAACATATTCTCTTGCCGTCTTTTCTTTTTCTACGTTGACTTCATCTCAAACATTGTTTAACGGAAGAAAACAAACAACTTCGTGCAAATGGATGGTTGATCTTGAGTTTATTTTGCCTCGTAGCTATGACAAATCAAGAACTTATCAGTGCTGGCACGAAAACAATGGATGAGACCGATCAGGCCATTGAACGCTCTAAGAAGGTAAAATAATACACATCCGCAATTTCAAGTCACTAATGTCTTATCATTGTTGTTATTGCCAGCATTATTTAACTCTTTTGAGTTTTTACCACCCTTAGGTTGTGGAACAAACTATGGAAGTGGGAACTCAGACTGCTACCACCTTGAAGGGCCAAGTATGCTTATTTGTTATCATAGTTATTGATTTTTTTTTTCCTTGTCTAGTCTTCTAAACTTTGCATCTGAATTATTGCAGACTGAACAAATGGGCCGCATTGTGAATGAGCTGGACACAATTCAGTTCTCAATCAAGAAGGCCTCCCAACTTGTGAAGGAGATTGGTAGGCAGGTTAGCCCCCCCTCCCCCTCTCTCTCTCTCTAAAAGCAGCCTATCTTTTCACATTTTAGAAAACGAAAATTGTTTGCTTTATTTATTATTTAATTTATAAATTTCTTTTCCAGGTTGCAACAGATAAATGCATCATGCTTTTTCTATTTCTGATTGTCTGTGGCGTTATTGCAATCATTGTTGTGAAGGTATGCAATAACACTTGAATTTAAATTCTTACTGTCATAAATTTTGGTACCTTGGTGAGCCTTCGTGTTTCCAAAGATTAAATAGCAAAGCACTTTCTAACGCATTGCTTTAGGAGTCTGTAAAATATCGGGAGTCATAAAGGAGATGAAATTAGTTAAACCTCTGTTATGTGCGAGCTTAATGTCAACGTATGAGCAAGACTAGTAAGAATGTGTCGTTCTCATCTAATTGTTCATTCTTTGTTGTTAATATCCAGATCGTGAATCCTAGCAACAAAGACATAAAGGACATCCCTGGATTGGCACCTCCTGCCCCGAGCCGTAGACTTTTGTATCTGAGGACTCCAGAGCATTTGGAATAGAGGATTTGATATTCCCATCACTCAATTACCATTGGTTCATTCATGCTCTAGAGAACAGAAAAGGGGGAGCTCAAAGCATTGCTGTATGTGGGCATCGCTCGGGTTTTTATGTTCTTCATTTATTTTCATAGTTGAATCCATTTTTTCGGCTTGAGATGTGCATATCCTGTTTGTGATTCTGTGTAAATCACATGCGAGTCCTTTTTGGTTTGGTATTGGAATGCGATTGGTTGGTGCTTAAAAGACTGCTGTAGGGCGAGAGAGATGAATATGGAAATGTGCCTATTTGCTTTGAACCCACGTTGTACATGTCCAATGAAAGGAAATCTGTATGCTATTTTCGAATATGCAATTGTTTTCACTTTGTTCCTGGCTGGATATGGGAACGCCTTGGCGTGTTCCTTGTTGGCTTCAGTGCTATAATTTCCCTTCAGATTGCGTGTGTAATTGTGTATTAGTTGATAGTATATCAAGTGCAATAACAGATTCAACAGGGAGAGTTTCGGTTCGCAATGCTTGGATTACTGTTCATCATCGAGTACAATTAATCATAAATCGTAATTATAGATGGAGGAGAGGGAGACGTAATTGTAGAAATGACTAGTAGCAGAAAAGGAGAAAAAAAAAGTGTGATAATATTGAAGAATTATATCTTTTTCTTTTTTTTTTTGGGGACAAAAAATTGGTTTTCATTACCAAAAATAGGTGGCCCTGCAGGAGCATACAAATTTCGAGTCAAATCATGCACGCACACCTCATTACAAATGAAATATTACAACGAATCTCCCTGAGGCTTTCTAAGAGGTAGGAAAAATAAAAAAAGAAATCTCTCTTCGAAAGAAAGAATAATAAAAGTCTAAACTGCACTAGCACTGCATTTCTCTTCTTTTCTCCTAGATTTCCCTTGCTAAACACGACCCTTTATAAATGAATTTTCATATTTATGTTTGGTTTCATGAAGTTATGCAGCATGGTCGCCAAGCTGTGTTCTTCCAAGATAAGACAATCTCGCTGATGCAATTAAAGGCGCTTCTTCATCGCCATATGCATCGGTACCAGAACCCGTCCCGCCACTGTTGTCACCACTGTTATTGGGCTTGAATATATCAGATGACTTCTTCTCTAACTTCCAATCCTGTATTAGGAGGGCAGTACATGGAAAACCCAACTTTCAGATTACAAGACTTAACTGAACACCAAATACATTGATCACAGTGTCATTTAGGTTTTCATCACAGCATGCCAGATTGTGCATGATCGTCTACAGGCATCAACAGAGTTCTATAACTTCAAACTCAAAAGAAAATCTCAGCTTAAAATCAAGGATTGTTGCTTTAAAAAGAAAAGAAAAAAAAATTCAAAGAATTATCCAACCTTGGTGAGTCTTTCGGGAATAATATCAGTGGGTAGTTGAGATGCGCGTACATCCTTAACCTTTATATAGTTGTACATCACCACACCACATAATGCTGCAACGAAAAAAGAGAGCGGACACAGAAATCTGGTTAACAAAATCTCAAAGTCAAAGAATATCTAAAACGTGGTTATGCAATATCAAAACAGGGACCTACCTATAGCATAGCCAATTATGTTAAGTCCCGTGATAGCCGACTCCGGGAATATAACAGTGGAAAGGGCTATGAGAATCCAGTCCTTTAAGACACCAGCGACACGGATTGTAACTGCTCCAGTTCTACCAATTACTAAGAAAATGGAGAAGTTCAAGGCCAAAGCACAAAGAGCATTGGTGAAAAAGATCCAGAAGTTGAACTGAATCTGCGAAACTTCCATTGTAGGCTTCTCCAATAGAAACCAAGGCACAAACAGAAACACAAAACTGCAACCAGAAAGATCAAAGTAATAAATAAAATAAAGCCATAAAACAAGGGTGAAGTTATTCCAATGAAAACGTCCTGCAGAATGAAAGTAGATATACCTGCATGGAGCAATATAATATAAGCTGGTGATTGGATTTAGAGTCAAGCCTTTTTTCTGTAGAAGGACTTGTGTTAGGACGAGCCTAAGAGCTTCAGCGAAGATGCCTGTTACCTGGTAAACTGTGCCGACTACGTTAAAATGAATCTCGCCATATGAGGAAATGACGACTCCGACACTGACCAGCACCATGTTCAAGAAGACGTCACACCTTAATTTGTCAGTGCCACACATAACCGCCATAAGAAACGTAGCCACCGGCACTGCAAGAACAAAATTCAGAGTCGAGAGATCATTTGCTACGATAACAAGGACTGTCACGATAATGATTAGTATAGTACGATAAAAAGGAAATGCGTGCTTCTTCTGACTGAGACATACTTAGAGCTTTGAGCATTTGGATGAAGGCCACAGAAATATGCAAGTAAGCAGTATTGCCAAACCTGTAACCATACGGAAGAAAAATCGAAACTTGTCTTTGATTTGAACACAAGAAATGAAATAAAGTCGATGGATGCACAATGCTCATTCCCGCCACTTACTGAAGCATAGCAAATAAGGAAAGTATAGTTTTGGTTTGTAATCTAATCGGTAAACATAACAGTTAATAATTTTAGTGCTTACCAAAGACTTGAAGCAAAGAAGGCACTAATTGGTATGACACAAGTAGCGTATCTGGCAGCCACACGGGAAGGGGAAGGGAACAAGTAAGTGAGTTTTAGATTTAGTGGAACAAGAAAAAAGAACAAATGGGAGAGGTGAAAACTGCAGTCTATATTAATAAAGTAATGCTAAGCTTAAGAGAGTAGATACATTACATTTCAAACGTCATTTTGGCAGGAGAAACAACCTGCAGTCAGATTTGTTGAGATAAAAAAGTGTTAACAAACCTAGATTGATGAATATTAAAATTAAGCCTTAAGGAAAATGAATCCAGAGAAAGAAAGTGGAAAGTAAAGAAAGCAAGTGTGGGACCTTGAAAACACGGACGAGAAAGAAAGCGACGAGTCCAGAGAAACCCATATGAATCATGGTAAGCGTTATGGGAAGTGGAAAGTTGAAGTATTTTGGAGACAGAACCCACTGCAGTAGTGCGAGTGAAATTGACATTTCATTAAACAACATTAGATTAAGATTAAGCCAAACACAATATAAGAGCAAGAGAATGAGAAGAGCAAAGCAATTTGCTTCTTAGTGGTGTGGGTACCTTGTTGTACAAAATAACACCGGAGGAAAGCAGAATGTAAATGAAAAGGTAAAGGTACGTCAACACAAGCGGTTTGTTGATGTTGATCGGCGCCATCTTTGCCTCTGCCTTTTTGCCTCTATATACTTGGACCTTTTTTTTTTTTTTTTTGGTCTAAATCAACATATAATCATGTTCAACTTCAACATAATATATATATATATATAATAATAGATCAGGCCATCTACACTTGGCAAAAAAAAAAAAAAAAAAAAAAAAAAAGAGTTAAATTCGCCCAGATTGGCGAAATGGGTCGTTGGAGAAAGAAAGGATTTTGAAGGAGAAAAAGAAAAAAAAAGGAGGAGGGGAAAATTGAAAATGGATTTGAAGAAGAAGCAAGGAAACAAAAGAAAACAAGGGGGTGTCGGCTGATCTGGTAGAAAAGCAAGACCCAAATCGAAATCGAAATCTTGCGCTCACCTGAATCAATTATTAAAAGTCTGTGTATTATCTAAAGGTAAAAGAAAAGAAAGGAGAGAGACACAATGAACCAGATTGGTTGAGTTAAGGACCCAAACCCACGGACAGACAGCAGAAGAAGAAGGAAGACGAAGAGTGACGTACATTCCAAACGGGCTATCATCAATCATCAATCAAGAGTCGAGAGAGAGGCGTACAATCATCAATCATCAATCAAGAGTCGAGAGAGACGACACTGGAGAGAGAGAGAGAGTAAAACAAATAAAAAACAAATAAAAAAAAAAGAAAAGGAGATAAAAGAGGTCAAACAAACAAATAAACAAACAAACCCAGAAGAAGAGACATTAATAAATTAAATTAAATTAAATCAAATTATTAAATAAAAAGATTAATAAGTAAAAGATTAAACAAGGGTTGTCTTGTGGCTGGGCTTTGTGCACTTGTGGGCCTGTGGGGCATCATCAGATTCACCTATTTCCCTATTATTTAGTAGTAACTAGTAAGATAATAAGATTAGATTAGATTTAAGCCTATTAGCTGTCACTACTATGACTATCTTCTCTACGGCAGCTAAACTGGTAATAATTTACCCACATAATATTACATCTATACAATCCAATACCACTCACCATTCACCATTTATATTATATTTCCAAATTTACCCAACGACAACTTGGTGTCAAGTGTCCAATCCATCACGTTTTTTAAGTGCACCTCTTTTCTTTTCCCTTTGATTTTATTTTATTTTATTTTTTGTAATTTGTATATTTATCTGTTGGTGGTTCATATTTCATAAAATAGAATGGAAGTTTGAGTGTGATGTTTTTGTTTTGCTCTATGTCTATCGACAACAGACACTAGAGGATTCAAAATCATTAGACAAAAAAGATTCTCTCCTCTACACCCATTGCCTCATTACCAATTGTGGTCTGCATTTTCTCTTGAGTTTTGAGGATCATCTTCTCATTTTTGTATTCATCTCATCTCTTGTCATTCTAATTCTCATTCTCTCATTATTCTGTGTTTGTATGTATGTCCATGACAATTATTGACTACCATACATATATATATACAGAAAAACTACTATAATATTGTATAGCCATTTTGTGTTGAAATGTCAACATTGTCGTTCCGAATATATAACATACACATACAGGTACGTTTGGCTCTAAATCTAATTGAAAATTCAAGGCCGTTTGCCAGCTGCCACGATGGTGAGAGTCGAGAATCGGTCTTTGAACAACGCTTTCCTCATGTTTTGTATTATTACATCTTGTGTTACAAACATCTTTCTCATCTATATATAAACCACAGCAGAGGAGATGAGAGGTCAAAGATAAAAGTTATTGTGTAATGGTAATGGTACCCTATAATAATTAATTATTAATATCTATAATAAGTGAATATGATATAACTCATAATTGACATATTAAATGTGACCAACAATTGATTCTCATAGCTCTCTCTGGGACAAAATCCTAACTCAAACCCATCCAGCACAGACACCGCATGCACATTAGGATAAATTCAAGAATATGTACGTTCTATTGAATAGGATTTTATTTTTTTTGTCTTAATTGAATATGATTGTTTCTCATGAAATTTACGATAAAAAAAAAGTAGCTATGGCATTTTAGAATAGTATCTTGCATTAGAGCATAAAATAGAATAATATATTTTTATACGTGAAACTGAACATAATTTTACATAAACTCTCTACCTAATCATTACCTTTCTATTAACTCTTCTCGATCAGTAATTAAAAGATTACTAATACATCGCATTCCTATTTAGAATAGAATGATGTTATCCGCACTGTTAATATGACGAGATATTGAATGTGGAACCGGGACACAGACACAATATGAGTTTATAATAATTTTCGTTAAGTATAAAATTCTAATTGAGTCTACCAATAGTCATATATAGAACGATCTTAATCATGAGTTATTAACAGACTTTTTATTTATGAATTTACATCTTTTGATTTACTCGGTACGGATTTCAAGATGTTAAATCCTATTCCTTAGATTTTGGAGACATGATGAGGTAAGTGACTGAGAATGTTAATATACAAGATGAAATTCATTCATTCTTGAGAAAAAAGTAGATAAATAATTCTCTTGAGTATTGATTCGGTACTTGGACTAGTAGGAGTTTCGATTCATGAATTTGTTTTATGAATCACTGTCCATTAGAGAATCAATGGTACTTAAGGATAAAAATATAATTAAAAATGTTAACGGATTTCACCTGGCTCTAATTATAAAATATTTATGGATGATTGATCTAAATGTAATGACTATATCAATGGACGCTTCATAGTTTTGAAGTAAATTATATCTATAATTATGAGAGTGCAATTCTAAGTTGTAGTTGACTAACTTTAGAATTAATAGAATTAATTAGTTAATTAAAGAGTTTTAATTAATTATTAATTTTATTAGAGCTCATAATTATAGGTCAATGAGTCATCGCGTCATCCTTATAATTCTACAAGATACTAAGGGCAAAATAAAAATTTTAGAATTATGAAATTCTAAAATAAAACATTCAAAATTAATTAATTAAGAATTAATTAAATATTAAATAATGTAATTATTTAATTTGAATTTTAGAACACACGTGTGATGGAGATCACAAGTGTCACACACTCAACACTATAGGAATCCCTCTGGGATTCAATTGCTTGCTCTCTAAATTATCTAATTGACTTATTTGATAAGTTATCTAATTAAAATTCAAATTAAATTATGTTTGACTTTAATTGAAGTTTGAATTTAAGTCAAAATTGGACAACTGGATAAAGGAAAAATTGTATTTCCACCTTATTTACAGTATGTGCAAACCATAGAGGGCTTATCCTTATGGTGATTGAATTTTATCTACAGCATGAGAGAGAAAATTGTTTCAAAATTAAATGAGAATATTATTTTATTTTAAATAGAATTTAAAATTAAATATTATCTCTTATTTTCTCAAACCTTATCTTAAAAGATAAAATATAGTTTCTCTAGGACTCTAAAAAGTACTCTATAAATAGGAGGTTGCGGAAAATTAGAGAACACAATTTTCTCTCCCTTCCCTTATGTGGTAGGCGTGTAACATTCTATCAGACAGCGTGTAACATGCTAGTGACAAGCGTGAAACTTTTTCACTCCATTCCTTACAGATGGCATGTAACATGCCTATTGTAGGTATGTAACATGTTGTTGGTTAGCGTGTAACCTACTAGATGTGAGTGTGTAACCTGAGAGAAAAAGAAAAGAAAAATTCTTCTAAATTCTCAGTTCCATGTCGTGTATGTGTTGGTGCTCGTGAAAGACTTGAGTGTTTTGATTGCTAATCCTATTTTGTTTTAGGTGTGCCCACACACACGTATTCGTAGATTCAATGAATTGACGAGTAAAATTCAAGTATTCTAAACAAGCTTGGAGCGAGAAAAGTTCGTAGTTAAAGAACTCAAGTTATCGACCTAATCATTTGCTAAGTAAATTTATTCATAAATTAATTTGATTAATTTATTCTTATATAAATTAATATATTCTATAGAGTATCTTAAAAGTTTATTAAAATTTTTATTATACACGATCCGCTAAATGCACGCTTCTGCATAGAAAATAGTTTTAAAAACCAACATGGACAACCCTGTCGAACTCCTCTTTCTAGCTTCACTACACCTTGTGGACTTCCTCTAATCACGAATGAGAGAGATGTCGGGTAGCCTAGAAAACCGGTTTTCAGGACCAAAGTTTCTTCATCATTTGCTCTAAAAACAGTCATTCTATTCGGTCACAGGCTTTGCTCATATCCAATTTAAGTCCCTACTCGACCTCCCACCTTTCTCCGGATAGAGGGTAATATCTCAAAGGCCACAAACACATTATCAGAGATAAGACGTACGCCCCGACACAAACGCACTTATTAAATACATTATTATGTGTTACCATTTACAAATAAAAAACAAAAGTAAGGGAAAAAAGCTGCATGAAGATGGTATTAATGTGGACATAATTTTAGACAAATTAGTTGATGGTACTACCCAACTACCATATATGTAGTGTGAAGAGACGAGATGATGTTGTTTCAACCACTAAAACACACAAAACTCAGCTGACAGACTATAAACATATATATATAGGAACTCTAATCATTTGATCAGATGATGTCGCAACACACAAAACATTCTTATAATGTTCGTATTCGTATTATGTTTATGTATAAACCCAACTCTACGGCATCCAAATGTGCTCTCAATTTGACTGACATCATGAAACTGAAAACGCGTTTGTCTTCCTTCTTCCCAGGAGCTTTATAATTTCCTTAATTATTAACGACCGTACATATATATATATATATATATACACACACACACCAAATAAGGGTATTATTTTTGGTCTGTCAACTAATAAAGATAAAATGCGATTAATTATAAGGTGCAAATCTATGGCGGTATGGCATATCATACATTCCAACTCAAACTGTGTAGTTTTGTTTTTCTTTTCAGTTTTCATTAGCAGACAACAAGACTTTTTACCTTGTCCAACGTATGTATATGTATACTATACTAGTGGATGACCAGATTGAATCTTGATCCAAAATTAATAATATTTAATATTGTTCTTAGTTAGGTAGCTTTGGGATTTGGGTCCCAACTGCACGTTTGCCCTTAAAACCATAAGACATGGAGGTCCCTTCCAGAAGGGTGCGTGAGGAATCTATGCAATGTAATACAATACACATAATGATAATAATAATCCCCTTTTTGATTAAAAATAAAATTTGGAATAAGTTGACCTTGGTTTTCCTTGGTCACGTATATTTTTATTTCCCTAATTGCCGACGGGAAACTTAAGAAACCGTATATTTGTTTATGTCATCCTCAGTTTCATTAATTAGATTGACATTATATTCACAAAATTAATAAATCATGCACATATACTTTGTTCAGAATATAGGTATTCATGATATGCATGTACTGCATCATATACACATGATATGCGTATATACTTCTGTTGACTTGACTTTATTTTTAATCTGATTGCAACGCCAGTAAAATGCCATGACAACTATTGGAGGAACAAAAAAATCATTCTTATCTTATATTTGTGTTTGGTTTAGCAAAAGTACGTACTTAAGAATAGCTATAGTTATTGGCATATATAAATTGTTCAATATTTCATTATATTCATCTGCTTATTCCTATTACAATTTTATTCCAATATCAAACCAAATGTCACCTTGTTCCTTGTTTTTTTTTTTTTTTTTAAATATTTCAATTCAGGTTTAGCTGTTCTTAACATGACAATCACGCTTTCCCTCAATCTCATCGGATAAGAAGGGATTATTCCATGCTTGGACGACTAATCTCCGCTTTAATCTCACTTTATCACCATAAAGCAATGACAATTAAGGCTCTTACCGAAGGGAAAAAAAGGGTGATGCCATTGCCAAAGCGAAAGATATTTTCTTATGGATTGAAAGCACTATTATATATATATATATATATATATCATGTTACATCTCTTTTCTTTTATTGTTTTTTTCTTTTAATGAATAATGTATTATGAAGTATTGGCAGATAACCGATTCCATTGGTAAACTGAAATAAAGCTCAAGGAAAAAACAGTGTATATCAAAATCTGCAACTGAAAATCACCCAAAATAAAGACTAAAGATGGAACGCAGATATAGATAAATTAAGGGATAAATCGTTTATTGTAATATGGGATACTAATGAAATTAGTAATGATGGTGTTTTTGTACTTGCAATTCTAGCTAGAGATACGAGCAAGTAAATATGGGGACGTAATTATATGAAGAAAGTACTGTAATTAAGAGACCGAGCATATAATATTATAATTTATAACAATAGAATAATCAGGACTAGCTCATAATATATATTATTGCAATATGTAGATGTATATGTAATAATATGTATGTGTGGTGTCTGCAATACGAACTGCGAAGAAATGTAAATTATAATAATAATAATAATAATAATAATAATAATAATATTTATAATTAATAATAATATTTACAATAATAATAATATTATTATTATTATTATTGCATATTGCACATAGGTTTAGATGAGACAGTGTAGAGTTGTAGATAAGGGTGTCCTCATTCACTCACGCCTCCATACATTTTCGTTGCTTCTTAATTCAGACACACACATATATTGGCTAAGTCCACCATGATTTTTGACATCTTATGTGCACCAGAAAATGAAATTGAAATTTCAACATCTAACCATTTTAGATATATTCCTCCAAAAATAAGGAACTTATTTTTTGTAGTGGGTATAAAATAAAATAAAATAAAAATGCCTAGTAATACTCGTATTTGCCCAAGGCCAATGCTCCACCCACACAATTGACACTAGATAGCAGATAGAAAGAAACAAGTGTGGATGGAACTGGGAAAGGTTAGAGCCTAGAGGGGTATATTAGGTATAATAATAGATTGATTAGTCTATCAAAGTATGGTGTCCAGTCTGTTTCTCTTGACTACTTCTAGAACATAACATCCACATTACACACGTACCTAAACATGGAAATTGGCATCCAAAAAAAAAAAAACAAAACAAGAATTAATTAATTAATTAGACATCAATTAAAAAACTACTTCTTTGCACTTTCGAGATTTGACATTTAAAATTGCGTCATTTACCATACTCAAATATGTTAATTTTAGTATTTTAATTAGTATCTAACTAATCAAATCGTATCTAAAAAATTTAGATTATTTTTTAACTTATTTTTTTTGTATTTATTATGAGATAATATGGTATGATTTAATTAGTTAGACATCAATTAAAAAACTAAAAATTAGACAATATATTTGGATCCTCATTTACCTCCCCTTCATTTTCTTTTCATAGTCACTTTTACATCTTTTTAATTAATTATATTATTAATACTAATTAATACGTGTTTTGGGTCCAAAGTTGGATGTTTGACTAACTAAAGGTGGATTTTTTTTTTCCTAAATCAAATAAAGATGGAAATTAAAGCAAAAGGAGGACTTTTAAATAGGGAATAAATAAAAAGTATTAGATTTCTCGTTTCTAATGTGATTTTCAATTTAATTTCTGATCAACCATCACCTTCAAAGACAGAGCACATTTACATACATCACTAAAATATTTATATATCAACATTAAAAAAAAAAGAAAGGAGAGAGAGAGAGAGAATTGAATTGAAGAAACAGCAAAGGAAGGAAAGCTCTGAATATTTTGATTGGATTTTGATGGATGCTTTTCTTTTACTGTAATGAAACGAAATCACCTACCACTGATAGCTTAACTCCATCAAATCCAATCCGATCCATCTATCCTTCTTCTTCTTCTTCTTCTTATTACTTGTTATTCCTTTCCATTTCCCCCTTCCTTCCCACAATTCACGTTTGTTCTGCAGCTTCTCCAATTTCCTCATTATTATTCCACATTCACCTCTCTTTTCTATTCAGGAACAAAAATCCCAGAAAGCGGAATGAATGTTTTAGTGAGAGAGAGAGAGATCTAGGGCTATAGGGCTATAGGGCTTTTCATTCAATTCTGACGAGAAGAAGCTGCCTATTCACCATCTCTTCTGTAAGTCATCTCTCGCCACTCTTCTTTATTTCTTACTCTGTCTTACTCCCAAGTCGCAACTAAAAATAATAATAATAAAGTTTCAAACTTTTGTTAAAAATCTAATCTTTGTTTTGCTTTGCGCTGAATTGAACTGGGTCAATTTTATCAAAGCTTTAATTTTTCTCAGTTGTTTAACGTATGCACATACAAATTTTTGTTGTTTTTGTTATTCTTTCATATTAATCTTCTTACTAAATCGTGTCTTTTTTTATTATTATTATTATTTGCTTCGGATTCTGTTTATATGTTCTGTCCGGGTAAAGTACCCATTCAATTTCATTTTGTGATCTCTTTGAGTAAAGTATATGCACATATTTGTTTGGCGTTGTAAAAATGTGTAACGTTTAATTGGGATACCAAATTACTAAAAAGGTTGCTAAAAGGAATTTCATTTTTTTTTTTTAGTTATTATTGTGTAGGAATTTTTTTGGACTCAAAAGATGGTGTCAGATCTTAACGAGGGATTATCCAAGAAGACATTTGTTTTTGGTTTGAGGGTTTGGGTGTTAACCGGGATAATTGTCACGTTGCTCATAGTCGTAATTCTCCTCGTGTTATCGATATGTCTTACTCCTCGAAAACGGTCAAGAAGGGCCAAAGGCATGATTCCCCTTGCCCAAATCCCAAATGTTTCAAGGGAAATCAAAGAAATTGGAGTTGATCACATTTCCCCAAACAACCATGCTCATCACAATGGAACTTTTCTATCTCTTGATGACAAATATAGTGAGAAAGAGTCGGAGAAAGTGTTAATCAATTCGAAAATGGGAGATAACAATAGCAGTCCGTCAGGCTCATTTACTAACATAAACAAGGAAGGTGCGGCTCATCATTCTGGAGAGGAGGGTGGTCTTCATATAGTTTCTGTTCATCACAAGCCTTCACCACATCCTATAACCGCTCCTTCACCTCTCTCCGGTCTACCTGAGTTCTCTCACCTCGGTTGGGGTCACTGGTTTACACTAAGGGACTTGGAACTCGCTACGAACTGGTTTTCGAAAGAAAATGTCATCGGTGAGGGTGGATATGGCGTTGTCTATTGCGGTAATCTGATTAATGGAACTCCTGTGGCTGTCAAAAAGCTACTCAACAATCTGTGAGTTCCGTCTTGTATTAGTACTAACATGAGAATTTTGTCTTTAATTTGTTATTTTCCTTGCTAACTTTTGAGCTTGCCTAATTCTTTTAAACCTTCTTGTAGAGGACAGGCAGAAAAAGAATTCAGAGTGGAAGTTGAGGCTATTGGGCATGTACGGCATAAGAACTTGGTTCGCCTTTTGGGATATGGCATTGAAGGCACCCATAGGTACTGTAAGCCTTTCACCCTAAACCTGAGTAATGGAATGTATCGGAACTCTCTTTTAGGCTAACATCTGTGCTTTAGGTGAAAGGTTGTTTATTTGTTTATCGGTTAAACTGTTCAATTAAATGGCTTTTTTTTTTTCGTTTTCTTTTCTTGGTTTTAAACTTCCTTATTGTATGGCTGATTCAAGGTGTAAGTTTTTAGTATTACGATTGTTCAAATAAATTCTTCTATGGATGATGTTTTTCAGCAGCTCATAACAGAGACATTAAATTTCAGGTTGTTGGTATACGAGTACGTCAACAATGGCAATTTAGAACAATGGCTCCATGGAGCAATGAGTCAGCACGGATACCTAACTTGGGAGGCACGAATGAAAGTTCTCCTAGGCACTGCAAAAGCGTTAGTCTTCAGACACCAACAGTGCATTTTGGGTTCTTGTGGTTGAATCTCATCTCACTTGGTTTACTTTTCCATATTACAGGCTGGCTTATCTGCATGAGGCTATTGAACCGAAAGTTGTGCACCGAGACATCAAGTCTAGCAATATTTTGCTCGACGATGACTTCAATGCCAAAATTTCAGATTTTGGACTAGCAAAATTGTTGGGTGCCGGAAAGAGTCACATTACAACTAGGGTTATGGGTACCTTTGGGTGAGTAATATTGCTTTAAAGATTTGCTTGTATTTTCTTAAGGTGTGTTTTATAGTTGAAGGAACTATATGTATTTGCTAATATGATATCTCTGTTATTTAATTGCTTTCTGCTCAGATATGTGGCTCCAGAATATGCCAATTCTGGACTTCTAAATGAAAAGAGTGATGTTTATAGTTTTGGCGTTGTTCTCTTGGAAGCAATTACTGGAAGAGACCCGGTGGATTATGGTCGACCGGCACATGAGGTATCCATCTATATGTTTTATGCATAATAAGTGATGTTCTAATTTCATATCAATGAGGTATTGAATTTACCGAGTTGTTTTGTTATACTTGGCTTTCATCTTCTCTACATTCATGTCTAATTGCACAACATAGTGTAAAATAAGCTCTAGTTTCAAGCATATTAAACTTTGAATGATTCCGGCAGGTAAATCTGGTGGACTGGCTGAAAATGATGGTCGGAAATAGGCGTTCAGAAGAGGTGGTAGATCCTAAGATTGAAAATAGGCCATCAACAAGTGCCCTTAAAAGAGCACTTTTGACTGCTTTGAGGTGTCTGGATCCCGAGTCTGATAGAAGACCTAAGATGGGTCAAGTTGTTCGCATGCTTGAGTCTGAGGAATATCCCATACCTCGAGAGGCATGTTTCTATTGACGACTCATTTTGGGTCACTTCTTTTTCTTCCTTTTTCTCTCCCCATAAAAGCACTTGAACTATGCTAACAAGAACTCATCGTTAGAGTTTCAGACCTACTTTACAGGTGCTTACTTTCTAAAAAGATCTGGTTGGACTTGCAGGATCGAAGACGCCGAAAGAGCCAAGCAGGGAATACGCTAGCCGAGTTTCAGATGGAGAATTCCGATACCGATAAGAGTGACAATCCAGATGGCAGAAGGAACCATCGGAAATAGACATGTGGACAATGCAGTCCAGTATATAGAATCTCTGATGAACATAAGCCAAGTGACAAAGATTTTCTTTGTTTCAAGTGTTTTGATACTTGGATCTGCCTTAGTTGAGACAAAGGGTGCTGCGAGCCGAAATTAGGGACGATTTAGATGGTTTTTTGAGCTTTGAATACCTGCTGCTTGTACATCTTACACAGCTGGATGTGTGTACAGTTTCTTTCTGGGGTCCATTTTCCCCTCCATCTTCTTTTAGGCCATATAGCTCGTGAGGAATGAGGAAAACAATTGAAACATAAGAAAAGGAGCCGAGTTTTGTCATTACAATTCAAAGGATTTTCATCTTTATTGGAATTGAAATATACTATATATTGAAACACTCTTTGTTCTGTTTTGAACTCTAATTTTCACATTTAAAGGCTTTCCTTTGCAATGGTTTATGTTACTTTGCCTGCTCATATTACCTTATTCTGACAATATATGGGAGCGTGAGATGAACGTGAAATGGTGAACTTGGAATCTTTTTGAAGTGATTCCGAGTCCATCTAATTAAGCGCAGCAGTTAAATTACCGGTGTCGGGGAAGTGGGGGATATTGTTTTCGAGTTGTGTCGGAACAAGACTTGCAAAGACAATATTTAAAAAAAAAATCCTGCATTAAAGACTTTATAACGACTTTTGATATAACAAACAGTACTCCTTGTGTTGGATTTGTGGATGGAAAATGAGATCCAAATGAAGGGAACTGGAACCATCCTTAAACACTTATATGTATTTATCATGTGAATTGCAAAGAAAATTACAATAAGATGCTTTTAAACATCACCCTGTTTACAGAACAAATCTCAATATCACAATCTCTGCGGCAAGAAAGAAAAATCGAGAGGTCGGGGAATTCACAGATTGGTGCTTCACTCCAGTTCACTTCACTGAGGCCTGAGGGGGACCAGACCGAGCGTTCAATAAAGGTTGTAGAGCTTTGACTACGATGCTCATATTTGGACGAAAATCAGCTTCATATTGCACACACAAGGCAGCAACTGCAGCCAACTGTTTCACGTACACAAGCGCAACGAAAACCTGGTCACTACAACTTAAAAAACAGAATTTGAAAAGACCAATGTGCAGGTAAGCCCATCCACCACTTTGATACATGAGAAAATAAACTACGATGACGACGACACGCATTTCCGAAAGATCAACCAAACAACTAATTGCAAAATAACACTTTTAAGTAATTAATGCAGTGCTTACCTTTGCAACTGCCTTGGCAGGGTATTCTCCGTTGAGTCTAGCATCAACACACTGCTTCACCTTGTCTTCGCTGAGTTTCGGCGTAGCCTAATAGAATCCAGATTCATTTTTAAATGAAAAACAGAAGAGACATTAACTCAATGAACAAAGATTGCAACCTTAAAGGCTTCTCCATAAAGGGTGCAAGCACTAAGTAAGAGCTACAAGTATCTCACCCACGTCACGAGGCTCTGCTGTCCACGCGGCAGCGTATGATCGACCGGTTTACGCCCAGTCAAAAGCTCCAACAACACAACACCAAAGCTGTAAACATCACTCTTTGAACTGAGCTGCCCAGTCATTGCATACCTGGCATCAAATACCAGAACTCAGTTTCCAATGTGTTCCACTGGAGACTGTATCCAATTCCACACAAACGTTTTGAGTGGAAAACAAATTACATTGCAATTTACAGGGTACAGTTTGTGGGAAAAATCAGACATGTACGGTTTCATCTGGACTCAGCCAGGGATGTTCAGTTTTTATTTTCTTTCCCATCAACTTTTTATAATTAGATCAAAGCTCATTAATGTTGACATGCTCAGCTTAGACTAACTTCTTGTAAATACACACGCACAATAAAAAAAATTTGGGAATATGGATCAACTTAAGAACGTACTCGGGAGCATGATAACCAAAAGTCCCGAGAACACGAGTGGAATGGAGACGAGCTGCCGCATCGGGGGCTTGATTTGACAGATCAAAATCGGCAATTTTGGCAACATCGTCATCAAAGAGTAGTATATTGCTGGACTTGATATCACGGTGGATAATGGGAGGGTGAGCCTTTTCATGTAAATATTCAAGGCCTCCTGCTGCTCCTACGGCAATTTTAACTCTTCGAGCCCATGACAGAGGTGGACCTAGCTGTGCTCCTTTGACACCTTTCTTTCCTATATCATGTATATATACAGAACATTATGAAGTATTAACAAACATGCTGTACAACACAGAAAGGAAATCCAGCTTGATCGCAGAAGCGAAGAAAGAGAGAGTAGTTTTATGATGTGATAACAAGTGACAAGTAAAAATTAGTGACTGACCGTGAAGAATGTCATGAAGAGAGGCATTAGGAGCATACTCATAAGCAAGCACGCGCAGTGGACCGTCAACGCAATAACCAACAAGCTCGATAACATTTTCATGCTTTAGTCTTGACACCATTGAGATCTGTAAATATTGTATCGCATTAGTTTGTTAAATAAATAACTAATAAATAACCTCCTTGGACAAGGTGTTAGTTACCTGGGCTAAGAACTCGTGCTGTGGTTGCTTAGAGGAATTATCCAACGTCTTGATGGCTGCAGACTGGCCGGTTCTAAGAAGGCCGCGATAGACTCTTCCGTAAGAGCCCTCGCCGATGAAGCCTTTACTTCCAAAACTATCAGTGATGTCCTTAAGCTCTTCCACTGGAATTTCAGGCACTTCAATTGGTTGTATATTACTGTTACTATTACTATTATTAGTATTAACACTCTTGGATGATTCTTTTGCATAATAACCTCCTCCTCCTCCTCCACTTTGCCCTATAATCAATATACATACATACATACATACATTAAAACTGGCCAGTCTGATCATAGAAATAAAAGTGGTGGACGAACAGAAATAGAAATAGAAGTAATAAATTAGAATACCTGCAGGTGCAGTATTGGGGATGAATTGGCGGCCATTATTCTTATTTTTCTTATTATTACTACTATTATTATTATTATTATTATAATTATCAGCTGTCCTCCCGTGACTGTGAATGTCATCTTCTCCACAACAGCTGAAGCAGCTCATGATTAAATTAATTCTGCTCCGGAAAAACAAAAAAGAAAATTACAAATTTAAAAGCTACTCTTGTATCTCTATGTATGTGGTCTGGGAAACAGGAGAGTCCCAGAAACCAAAACAAACCAACAAACAGGTTCACAGGTTTCATTCAAAAGGAGATTCATTCTGTACAATCATATATATATATATATATAGGTAGATAAAAAGAAAATCCGGACATGAATATAAATATTAGTTAGTATTAAAAATAGTGATATTCATATATATATAGGACTGTGAAGAAAAGAGAGGAAAAATCTCACCTTTTGGGTTTCGGAAGAACAATGGGCCTGTGGGTGTGTGTTGGAAACAATCTTTCTTCTTCTCTTCTTTCTCAAAAACAAAAACGCCAAAGTTTTGGAAGCGGACTAAATTCTCTATTCTCTATTTCTATTTTAATTTTTATGTCTTGGGATGGGTTTTGACTTTCTGAGTTGTGTCTGTCTGTCTGTCTGTTTGTCTTGTTTCTGAAATATATGATGACGATGACAAATAACTGACAACACATGTAAACATTTGTAATTGGTATTTGTGCGTTAAATTCAGAGAAGAAGAGGGTCATCTCATAGCTGAAGTGAACGCCTTCATTATTTTTAATTTTATTCTTTTATTTTCTTTATGTTTGTCCAAGTCACCTAAAGACTTTTTTGTTATCTACTTATTTTTCTAATTTTGTTTATCTATTCTGTGCTGGTCGCTTTGGACTTTTTTGCATTTCATGGCTTCATTCTAAAAGTCGCATCCAGCTATTTAATATTAATAAAATAAATAATGATGATAATTCTGAATTTAGATAAAAAAAAAAAGAAGAAGCAAATTGGTTAACTTTATAACGTCAAGACATTAACATGGTTAATCTAATAAATCCATATTCCCTTCCCTCATTAGTCATGTACTTGACAATTGAAGGTGTTTTGTTTGTTTGCTTGCTTGCTGGAATTGGTTGGCATGGTTTTGGGGATATCATATCTCATGATTCTATCATATCTCATAATCATTTGTCTCTGCAATCTGCTGTCTGTTGCATACTACACTCTGGAAATCTTTCTTTTCCTTCTCTGTTTTTTGTTTTTAAGTTATAACTATTCGCCACTAGATTTCCCAAGTGCACATGGGCATTATATACATATTATATATACATATATGTAGTAAAAGGCAGAGCAATGCAACTTTGTCTTCCGCCAGAGAGTATTGCCATACAATTCACAATGATGATTAGAAATCATACCATCAGGATGATGCGTAGATTAAAACGGCTTTCGTTGATCCACCATCTTTTTGAATGCCGATTACCTACCACGACTTTTATTTTTTATGGTTGATTTAAGTTAACTTTATATTAGCTAAGATTAGCTTAGTTATGGCTTCCTGCTCACAACCCCAATTATAACTAGCATTTGATTCTTGAAGCACGGCTGCGACGTCATCAGATTGTCTCCTAATCAATCAACAATTTACAATTTCAATTTACTGATTACTGATTACCGATTACTCACTCAAATCATCATCAAAATAGTTGATTTCACCACCACTACCACCACCATCGTAACCGCCATCGTCGTCCTCGTCAGAGTCGGCACACGAATTGCCAGGATTCACATTTACATCCGTCGAAGCAACTAGTTCAACACATCCCTTTCTAGTGTCTACAGTTCCTCCTTCGTAATCAATCGTCTCGTCCTCGTACGCATTCACTTCCATTTCGTTACAAAGGATGATTTCCTACAAAACCAACTCAACCAAACAAAAGTAAAGCTCTTTGCTTTTATTCGATCGAGCCAAAAACAAACCTCTTTTAAAGTTAAAACCACCTTGATCAATTACCTCATCTTTTAGCGGCAGTTTTTTCTCTCCTTCAACAATCCACTCGTCTAGCAAGTTTTCTAGCAGTAGGCTGTCGAGTGAGGCCGGACTATTTGACCTTTTTCTCATTTGGCGTTCTCTTAGTCGCAGGTTGTAGTGAACATAGCTAAGGTCTCCCAATCTTTTCTGAGCTATACGGTTGTGTTTCTGTCTATATATTTGATCACACATACTCCAATTATGCTCGCACCCAAAAGACGAGCACGTCTGACTTAGAATACGTACAGCTATCCGTCGCAGCTCTAAGCAACTTATCCCATGCTGTTGCCACCAAGCCGCTAGTGAGTATATGGCAAGGCAAACAAAAAGATGAAAAAAAGATTTTGGTCAGTATGTGAATCGATGCATTTCTATCTAGAACCTGATTTTCCAGACTGAGTAATTCAACAGCCTAATGCACTCACCCGGATCAAGCTCTGTTCTTGTACTGATTGCCAATTCAGTACCAAAATCAGCCTTTGCAGAATTATAGTCGGAAAGCTGATGCATTAAGAAAACTGATGAGAAACCTTCCAGGAATAACAATAAAGCGCAGAGAACTGCAAAGGGGTACCGTACCTGCATCGATGCAGAAACTCTTTTTGCAGTGTCTGGCTCCAGCCGAGCTATACATTCATTCACTCCACGGACCACTTCCGTATGCTACACTTGGAATAAATAAATTTCAGGATATAAAAGAGAGAAACCGATAAAAATGGGAAATCAACAGAAGTTGATGTTTCTCCTACCGCCACAAAATCAGGTTGATACCGATATGATGGATTCAAGAAATGAGCAGCCATATATAGAGGGTGGTAGAACAATGAATTCCAATGACTCTCTACAACATCCAAGAAGGGTCCATACTTGTATGAATCATCACCATGAATAGATTTAATAGCGAGCTTTGCACTGTACATTTCATAATACATACAAGGCATTGACAAGCTATCACCACCGTCAACCTTCTGAAGAACTTGCATTATTGGATCCACCGACTTCACAACGAAATGCACCTTCTTCCAAAATGTAGGGTTTAGAACAATCTTTTCCACCTCTTTTCCCTCGCCTGATTTCGAGCACCGGGATGAAACCCATTTGCTTGATTGAAACAGTCTTCTGAGACCAATCCTGTGGTCAAGCAAAGTCCGCAGGGTAGTGAAGCTAGAGGCACATCGGGTCACGGATTGTCTCAAAAGTTCCTTCCCCTGAGTGAATTCATTCTTCATGAGATTTAACAACCAAATTTGGTTGTAAATAAACTTTGTAATTATTTGACCTTTCTCCACACACTCCCCTACACATCTTATCTTCAGAAAATCTTCAAGCATCTGATCAATACAATCAGTTGCACATGGGGTCCAGAATAAGTTCCTTCTCTTCTCTTCAAGCATCTTTCCAGCAGCTTTGTAACTGGGAGTATTCCGAGTTATAACCTGCAGAGAAAAAGAAAGGGGAAAAGTTTAGGAATTCAAAGGCGATAGTTTAGTTTACAAAGGAGAATTAGTTGACAGGTAAAACAAAAATCACAAGTACCTGCACTACATTTTCCTCACCCATCTCTTCCACCACTTTATCGAGCATCTCAAACAGACTGACCGCATCTTCTATTACTTCAGTGGCATCAACGGAAGAAACAAAGTACATACCACTTGGTCCACAAGACAAAAGATTTATTAATGTCCTTCCTTGTGTATCTCTCCAACTGTCAGCCAGTATAGAACAACCAGTGATTGCCCAAGAAGTCTTGTACTCATCTAGGTGGTTCTTAAGGCTTGCAATTTCCTCCTGCAGAAATTGGCCAGATATTAGTTGGCTCGGAGGCCCAGTTAAGCCCTGTCCATGTTGTCCTACCAATTCCAACATCTTATGGAAGTACACTGAATTTGCTGCTTGTAAGGGAACTCCTGCATGGTAAAAGAACTTGCAAATCGCCGAAATAACTTCCCTCCGTGATTTTCTATTTGACGACGTCTTAACTCTTACTTGCCTGTAAGACTCTGGTGTCTGCCCCATAAACGTATTCATAAAAACCGAATCAAGTCTAGATCTTTTTAACAGTGGTTCAGAGCCTCTAGTGGGAGACATCCCCTTAAAAGTCTTCCTCAAATCTTTGACTACTTTGCCATCATTGTCGATCATTTTTTCCTTGCTTATACGACACAAACCAGCCTCCATTTGCTCATCCTCAGAATCTGATTGTGCATAAAATGACGACACGTCATTTACATCACCCCGTTTTTGTTTCCTCCCAGTGCGATGCCATTTCATGTTATCTTTAATCTTAAGATACACTTCCTCTGGAGCGTGTTTACAAGGCGCTACTTCCCCAGGAATTCTTGCTAAATGTTGCTTAAACCGATTGATACCTCCGCTCACTATTTTCTCACAGTAGTTGCATTTCACCTTCTTCTTCCTCTCATCTTGAGCAACACAATGCTCCCATCCGGGATCAACGTACCCCAACGATCGAAGAGGAGTGCACTTCATAGCTAAGTTCCTATCAACCATCAATTGTTTCCCTTTGCTTCTATACTCAACATGGAGCTCCTCCTGTTCTTCATCATCATTGGAGTTGAAGCTCAAGTATGCCTGCCCATTATCTCCGCAATGTCTCGGTTTCTTGCTGGAACGACATCCTTCCAGATTTTCCTTCATTCTCAGGTACACTTCCTCCGGCGCCTTATTGCAGTAAGTCACTTCTCCAGATACTCGAGCCAAATGTTGCTTTAGCCTGTATATCCCACCACTGACTATTTTCCCACAGTAATTGCATTTCACCTTCTTCTTTTTCTCGTCTTGGGCAATGCCATGCTCCCATCCGGGGTCCACAAGTCCGGTGGAACGAAGTGAAGCCATCGGCCTTTTCAACAATTCATGATCGTCTTCTACAAATTACCCTCGTCTGATTGGCTTATTAGCTGCATCATAAACTAGCATAAACAATGATGCAATTTGTTTTGAGATTGAGAATCCGTGACGTGTACGTGAAAGTGAAACTAAACATATTTACTATGCACAAAATATTCCACAAGCACTAATGTAAGAGCAAGACACAGGGCAAACGCACAAAAGAAAGAAATTTAGATGGGAAGATAGTAATTGATCAGAATGCCAAGTTTATTAAGCGTGAGTGCTGCTTAACACTTGTTTAGTAGTAAAACCAAGGTTTTTATATCTTTATGCATGTATCTAATCTAAACAAAAACCCAATTGAGATTGAAAAGAGTTTCACATTGTTTGAACAGAGTACTAAAAATTAAAGCCAAAGCTATGATATTTGGTTTGCCCCTAAAATGTAAATGGTGTGTAGTAACATGGTAATTTCTGCATTAACAATATTAATGGAAAAAAAAAACAAAAACAAAAAAAAAAACTGTAGGCAAAAAAAAAAAAAAAAGCCAAAAAGAATCAAAGGATTCTCGAAGCTTAAATCCGTAGGCAAACTAATATGTATGCTTATGGGGATTAGACTTAAACAGTAAAAAAAAAAAAGATTAATACCTGAATTTTGCAAATGGAGAGCCCAATTGAAAGTTTTGGGAAAAACGCACATTTAGATTTGGATTTGGATTAGGATTTGCATTGAGAAAGGGCAAAATTTGATTGAAATTTAGGGGTTATGAATTGTTAAGGTGGGGGGGAAAGAGGGAAGAAAAAAAAAATTGATGCAGAAAAGAGGAACGAGGTGGGATCGGTTTGGAATCGCGAGTTTCGCGAGTGGGGTGGCTGGGTTCGACTCAGATTACTCAACCCGCCTCTTCTCACTCCAACCTTTTGTTTTTTTTTCCTATTAATAATTTATTATATTATATTCTTTTAACCTTTTAACTAAAAAAGCAAAAAACAAAAAAAAAACAAAAACAAAAACAAAACAAACAAATTTCTATCTCATTTACGTATTTACCTACAAAATGAGATAATTTGCAAGAAAGAAAATCTTCTTTAAAGAATACGGACATATTAAAAAAAGAAGTCCCTAGAAATTTAAAAAAAAAAAAAGTGGGAAGAGGTGATAATTAATTGGCCTGATCTAAATATAAACAACAGTATACTATCTATTTATATATATATATATATAAACAAGAAGAAAAGCTTTCGAGATTCCAAGTCTACCCTTTATGCAAAGGTAGCACATCATAGAAGAAGAAAATTTTGCCATTTTGCTTGCACATTTCACCATTTTATTTTATTTTATTTATGTTTTGAATTTTCGTCCAAAGTATTACAAATGTCTCCCACGAAAAAAAAAAGCAAAAAAAACAAAACAAAACACTTGGACCACGTAATTACTGAGTTGACTCGGTAGAATAACCTTGACTCAGTCAATGTGGGGTTGTCAAATTCTGTTTATTCCCCCTTGATAATATTTGATTCGTAAAGCTTCAACATTTTTTAACACATGTACATTTCCAAATTCAAAAAAAAAAAAAAGAAAAACTTTTTGAACCAAATATTATTTTGCTCCTTTTTTGATAGTGTCTTTAAAGAATTAGTCTCAGGCTTGTATCCAACTTTCGATCACTCAAACCAAAAAAAGAAGAGAGCTTCTTCTAATTTACACTTGACAGAGCAACGACAATAATGGCATCTAAGTAAGTATAAATTGATTGAATCGAAGCATAGTGTTTTTGTGTTTGTTTTTTTTCTTCTTTACATCATTTAAAATAGGAATATTCCCTGAAATTGATTACCAGTAATCTTGACAAGAGCATTCTCCCATCCTAAAATGGTGAAACCTATTCCTGTCCCTCACGATTATCTCGCGCTCAAAAACCTTAGACACGAGCTTGCTCGCGTTGTGACAGTCCTTGCAGACCCGCAAATTCTTCGATATGCGAATGGTCTCCCCCGGTTTAGTCTTCAACAGGCCGAACGCAATTGCGAGCTTCTCGCTGTGATAGTACAACGGGTTCTCCTTCTCCTCCTCCTCAAGATCATGCAAAACTCCATCAACATCAGGAACATACCCAAAACCTCTTATTCTCTCCAATATCTCATCAACTTTAGCATAAAGCTCTTTAGACTCGGGATGAGTCCTTCCTCCTGCAATGAACTCGCTCACAACGCCATCGAATTCAATGATGGAAAAGCCAGGGGCCTTTTTCACCCCTCTATCATTCATCAACTTCCTCACTTTGGCAACATCTTCCCACCTCCCAGCATTGGCATACAGATTGGCTAACACCACGTACCGCCCGCTGTTATTAGGTTCAAGTTCAATTACGCTTTCCCCAATTTCCTCGCCCAAGTCAACGTTCCTGTGGATTTTGCAAGCTCCGAGAAGAGCCCCCAACACCCCGGCATCCGGGCTTATTGGCATATTGCCTACAATCTCTTTCGCCTCCTCAAACATCCCAGCCCTTCCAAGCAAATCAACCATGCACCCATAATGCTCTTTTCTCGGCTCAATTCCGTGAGCTTCCGTCATTCGACGGAAGTAATGGCGCCCCTCCTCGACCAACCCAGAGTGAGCACAAGCGCTGAGGAGATTAACAAAAGTGATGTTGTCAGGAGCCACCCTCTGTCCATGCATCTCCTCAAAGAGCTCGATGGCTGCCTTGCCTTTCCCGTGCATCGCCAACCCGCCAATCATGCAATTCCACGACGAGATCCCTTTGTCTTTGCGGGGCAACTCCTTGAAGACTTGGTACGCCTTCTCCAAGCAGCCACATTTGCAATACATGTCGATGATTGTCGTCGCGAGTTTGGAGTCCAATTCGATTCCACTTTCGTCTATGTATCTGTGTATCCACTTGCCTTGGTTCAGAGCACCTAATCCGGTGCAAGCAGAGAGCATACTCGCCGCCAAGTACTTGTCCAACTCCACCTTCTCGTCTCGCATTCTCTGGAACAATGCAAAGGCCTCGTGAAAGCGATTGCTCTGGACGTAAGACGCGATCATGGCATTCCAAGAAACAGAGCTCCTCTCGCCCTCAGGCATCGACTCAAACAGACGGAACGCCTCGTCGACGGACCCGCACCGAGAGTAGCCGGCAATCAGAGTGGTCCAAGACACTACGTCCGGAGCAGGCATTCCATCGAACACCTTCCTCGCATCATCCAGTGCCCCGCAGCCGACGTACATGTGGATCAAGCTGTTCTGACAGAAGCCGTCTTCTCCGAACCCGAACTTGAGAACGTGAGCGTGGACTTGTCTCCCTTCTTCGACGGCATTGGCGAGGCAACACGCGCCGATCACGGAAGGGAAAGTGAAGCGATTGGGGGAGACGGAGCGGCGCAACATTCGGAGATAAAAGAGGAGGCAGTCCATGGGGAAGTGGGATTTCCTGCAAAGGCCCCTCATGATGGTGTTGTAAATGAAGGCGTCTGGTTGGGGCATTTGGTCGAACAGTTGGAGGGCATAACTCAGATCGCCGTGTTCAGAAACGGCGCAGAACTTGATGAGACGACCCATGGCGTCGTTGTCGGAGGAGAGGCCGAGGCGGATGGCTCGAGAGTGGAGCTGCTTAAGGTGGGCCATCGACGAACACCTCTGGGTCTCCATTTCCATTTCATGGCGGCGGCGGCGGAGGACTGGTGAGGCTCCGATCACCTGGACTTGGACTTGGACTTGGAGAGACAACGACATTTTGTTGTCAGTCGTTTTGGGTTGTTTATCATCAACCAGGAAGACAACAAAGTGCAACCCATAACTCAGTATCGTATCTTAATTCCTATTTTATGGATAGGAGACGAATAAGACAAGAATAGGATAGAGACTGTGATTTTATTTTATTTTCTTAACCTCCCTTTATAAAAAAATCAATCAACATTGAGTTAATTGGAAATGGATTTGGACCTGCAAAGACAAAAGACATATTGGATTGCCCTCATTCATAAACATTGTTGTCTATTATTTTCTCATCGAAAGTTCTTCACGTGCTTTAATTCAGAGATCATTCTTTGAAACTTGTTCTACGAGGATTCGTTTTCTGACTCGAATCATAATTCATAGTTCGTTACTATATTTTCTCTAAAAAAAAACACACGTAAATCAAAAATAATTCTAATAGCATGGTTTTAATCTGAACGGACTCTATTCTCTTTTTTCTTTTTTTGATATAATAATAATAATAATAATAATTAATAATATTACTCAAGTAGTAGTGAGAGACACGATCTGAGGAAGCCTAAGTCCAGAAATCACTCGGTTTTGGTATTTATATTGATAGCATCTGATGTGATAAATAGACAAAGCAGAAAAAGTCGGTCTGATCTTCTGTTTATTCTCTGTTAATTATTTTATTCTTTTGCTTGCCGAACAAGAAGGGAGATCGAGAGGGACGCGGAGGAAGAATCATTTATGTAATATTAAATTGACTTTGGTTTGTCTGTCGGTGACAATATTCGTCTCTGTGTATTTCGAATGTTCCTTCCATCAGTTACCTAAATTTCCTGGAAATTTCTCGAAAACTGCTACGAAATTAGTAGTGTGTTCCTATTCCCCCTGTTTCCTGAATTCATATAACACAGGAGTTTTTGGCCTATTATTATTATTATTATTATTATTATTATTATTATTATTATTAATCTCTCTCTCTCTCTCTCGCTATCACATAGTTGATCTTTAATATTTGTGGCATCAATCCTAATGGTAATATTTCATTTCATATTATTTGGTGCTGAGCGATAATTCTTCGATACATATATATATATGGCTGGTGCAGGTTCTTCAGCAATCCCCAGAGGCAGAGAGCATGTTGAAAAATATGAAGTCTTTATGAGCTTGAGAGACGAGGATACTCGCAATACGTTTGCCAGTCATCTTTACAACGCGTTATGTGCAAAGAAGATCACAACTTATTTTGGCCTAGTACTCCACAAAGCAGGAGGAGGAGGTGATGATGAAATTACAAATTCAGCACCACATTTGAGAGCGATTCAGGACTCAAAGCTTGCTCTAATCATTTTCTCCGAGAATTATGCTTCTTCCGCGAGGTGTTTGGATGAACTCATTCATATTTTCCACTGCAACGACCGAAATAGACAGCCCGTCGTTGTGCCCGTTTTTTACCACGTGAATCCATCGCATGTCAGAAAACAACAAGGGAGCTATGAAGCTGCATTTGCTGCACATGAAAAACATTTTGATCAGGACGTGAACAATGATGATGTTCATAATAATAATAATAATAATGATAAGGTCAGAGAGTGGAGGTCTGCTTTGGCGAGGGCAGCCAATCTATCCGGCTGGGATTCATCTGCCATTGGGTACTAATCCCTACCTATACTTAACTACACATAAGTATTATTACATTATTACAATTAGTGTATCTATTTTTTTTTATCGTTACTGTGTTATAATACATTTGTACCATTTCTCTATGCAATTGTAATAATTCAATATTTTAGTACCATTATCTGTTCCTAATCTATGTGCGCTGGCTGCTGCTAGGTCCGAATCTAAATTGGTTGAAGCGATTGCCGATGATATTCTGAAAAAGTTGTCTCGTATTACATCATCAAGTGATTACGAAGAGAAGGGCTTGGTTGGAACCGGAAAGCGCATCCAACAAATCGTATCATTGTTACAAATGGGATCCTCTGATGATACAAGTGTTCGTATCCTAGGCATTTGGGGTGCTTGTGGCATAGGAAAGACAACTCTTGCTCGTGTCATATTCAACCGACTTTCTTCTCAGTTCGACAGTTGCTGTTTTCTTGAAAATGTCAAGGAGGAAACGCAGAAGCACGGTCTCTCTCATTTGCAAACTAAACTTTTTTCTGAATTATTGGAGGAGAAAAATCTGAGTATGGCGAATAGGTTTTGGAAGGACAGGCTCCGACACAAAAGGGCACTTATCGTTGTCGATGGTGTTGATGACACGGAGCAATTAGAGTATTTAGTTGGTGATCGCGCTTGGTTTGGCCATGGTAGTAGAATCATTGTCACAGCAAGAGAGGTGGAAGTTGTTGACAATACAGTAGTAGTTGATGGAACATACAAGGTTGAGGAGTTAGATTCTGATGAAGCTCTTGAGCTCTTTTATTCGAAAGCTTTCGGAGGTTTACCTGTCCCAAAGAATTACGCGGAGCTGTCGAAAAGGGCGATCCATCATGCGGAAGGGATTCCATTGGCTCTTAAAGATTTGGGTCGCCGCCTCTATTCCAAGAGCACCAAAGTGTGGGAAAGTGAATTGAGTAGACAGGGAAAAAGAAAAAAGGTCATCTGACACATAACTTTCAATTTGTTAAGTTATGCAGGGAAAGGGTCTTATTCTATGAGGGAGGGTAGGAGAATAAACCTGATTCTTGTACTTGATATATGTTTGTATATACAGCCCGATTCTCAAATCTTCTACTTGTACTTTTACTATATATAGACATGGCAGAAATAAGTAACCAACAGTAGTAGTTACGATCACATAATAACAAGGTTAATTCCGTGCGTGATTGACAAAGAAAGAAAGAGAGAGAGAGAGCATACATTTCGAACCAGCTTTGAGTGACTGCTTGACTGACAAAATAAATTGAGTTAAGATACAAATATACAGAGTCCAGACACAATCTTAGGTTGATCATTTTACATCGGAGAGATCCTATCACAAATATAATATATTATACATGACTTAAATAGTAATAACAATATATATTAAAATTAATTATTTTCCATTGTTAAGGAATGAAAAGTCAATCAATGCACAAAGTCAGGGATCTTCCAA